GTTTCACTAATTTGTTTTGTGTTTTGATATATTATCTTATTAAGATAAGAGTAAATCGATATTTTAAATCCGATCTTTTTGACCATCATTTCTCTTTCATTAATTAACGATCCATATTGTGACTGTGGAGTTCGAGTGACAGCACAACAAAAACTCTTCTACCCTCTGAGAGAAACAAATGCGCTAGCGGTGGGTAAACATGAACTAAACTTAGATGTAACTAAATACAAAACATTAAAAAACCAAGACAAATTTTCTACTTTTTGGCGACAAGGATCTGACAAATGAAAAAGATTCCAAAGTTTTTAGGGTCGTTTTAAATTTCATTGCAGTGCAGAAATGCACTTTCGGGGCGATTACGCCGTGATTAATAATGTAAATTTATTTATGATTTTAAGAAATACGAGTATTTATTATTCAAAAAAAAATTATTTAGTGTTATAATTTAAGGAGCGTTTAGAAACAAATAGTTTGAACAAATGGCTCATATTTGTATTGGTATTGAGATTCGAACACACTTGATAAAGAAAAAACAACATCCTTAGCTATCATGACACAAATAACCATATTTGCATTCATACATGTATTAGGATTCAAAAACAGAGTTGGCAAATCCTAACATGAGATCATATTTGTATTGGTATTGAGATTCGAACACACTTGATAAAGAAAAAACAACATCCTTGGCTATCATGACACAAATAACCATATTTGCATTCATACATGTATTGGGATTCAAAAACAGAGTTGGCAAATCCTAACATGAGATCATATTTGTATTGGTATTGAGATTCGAACACATTTGATGCAGAAAAATTGTCTTTCATCGCTATATTCGGATTCATATTGAGATTCAAATTGGTATTCAAATAGCGTTGGCGAATCCTAATTTGAGCTCATATTTGTATTGGTATTGACATTTGACCACATTTAAGCTACGGAAAATCGTCTTTCTTCACCAGAATGATATAAACCATATTAAGATTCATATAGGAATTCGTAGGATTCAAACAAAGTTTGCGAATCCTAACATGAGCTAATATTTGTATTGGTATTGACATTCGACCACATTCGCTGCATAAAAATCGTCTTTCGTCGCTAGAATGATGCAAACAACAATATTAGGATTCATATCAGGATTCGTAGGATTCAAACATAGTTTGCGAATCCTAATTTTAGCATATAATTTGTATTGGAATTGACATTCGCCCACATTTGCTACAGAAAAATCGTCTTTCTTCGCTAGAATGATGCAAACAACCATATTGGGATTCGTATTAGGATTCATATCAGGATTCGAACGTAGTTTGCGAATCCTAATATGAGCTCAGATGATTTGTATTGGTATTGACATTTGACCACATTTGCTGCAGAAAAATCATCTTTCTTCACCAGAATGATATAAACCATATTAGGATTCATATAAGGATTCGTAGGATTCAAACAAAGTTTGCGAATCCTAATTTTAGCACATACTTTGTATTGGTATTGACATTCGACCACATTTGCTGCAGAAAAATCGTCTTTCTTCGCTAGAATGATACAAAGAACCATATTAGAATTAATATCAGGATTCGTAGGATTCAAATATAGTTTGCGAATCCTAATTTTAGCACATAATTTGTATTGGTATTGACATTCGACCACACTTGCTGCAGAAAAATCGTCTTTCTTCGCTAGAATGATACAAACAACAATATTAGGATTCATATCAGGATTCGTAGGATTCAAACGGAGTTTGCGAATCCTAATTTGAGCTCATAATTTGTATTGGTATTGACATTCGACCACATTTGCTGCAGAAAAATCGTCTTTCTTCGCTAGAATGATGCAAACAACCATATTAGGATTCGTATTAGGATTCATATCAGGATTCGAACGTAGTTTGCGAATCCTAATATGAGCTCAGATAATTTGTATTGGTATTGACATTCGACCACATTTCCTGCAGGAAAATCGTCTTTCTTCGCTAGAATGATGCAAACAGCCATATTAGGATTAATATTAGGATTCGTAGGATTCGAACATAGTTTGCGAATCATAATATGAGCTCATAATTTGTATTGGTATTGACATTCGACCACATTTCCTGCAGGAAAATCGTCTTTCTTCGCTAGAATGATGCAAACAGCCATATTAGGATTAATATTAGGATTCGTAGGATTCGAACATAGTTTGCGAATCATAATATGAGCTCATAATTTGTATTGGTATTGACATTCGACCACATTTGCTGCAGAAAAAAATCGTCTTTCTACGCTAGAATGATACAAAAAACCATATTAGGATTCATATCAGGATTCGTATTAGAATTCAAACAAAGTTTGCGAATCCTAATTTGAGCTCATAATTTGTATTGGTATTGACATTCGACCACATTTGCAGCAGAAAAATCGTCTTTCTTCGCTAGAATGATACAAAGAACCATATAAGGATTCATATCAGGATTAGTAGGATTCAAACATTTGATGAAGCGGAATAAACATCCTTTGCTATTTTTATATAAGTAACCATATTGGGATTCATATTAGGTTTCAAATTGGCATTCAAGTAGAAGTTTTGAATCCTAATATGAGATCATAGTTGTTTTGGTATTGGGATTCAAGCTCACCAGCTGCTGGTGAGTTCACCAGCTGCTGGTGAGTTTGAATCCCAATACCATGCAGTTAACTTTACCCACTTAAGTATTTTCCAAGTGAAATGTATGTGAATATCATTTGTACAATGGACAAGTGCATGTTCTGCATAAATGTTCCTATATTTTATGCCACAAAAGAAGCCTATGCCTCTAAATCTAAAAGAAATAAATGTGATTCAACATGCACATATAATCATTTTACAAGTGCAATGTGTTATTTGATGATATTGGGAATATGTGTGTTGAGATGAAGAGGACCAATCTTGCAAAGGTATCAGTGTGTTACGTTTAGGCTTGTTTATAGCACATTAAGGATGTAAGATGTTTAATGAAGGTTTAACTGAGACAAGCATGCTGTGGGTATAGGAGGACGTCCGTAACTATTCTCAGTTGCCTATTCTAAGACGTCTTGGCTAAAACGTTTTAGAAAAATCATGTTGAGTTTACATCAGCATTTTCAAGATGTCTGACGAAATATAATTGAATTTAGACCTGTTTTCTTAAGACGTCTTGGAAATATGTAGGTATATATGTAATATGAATATTGATTCAGTCAACATGGCTATTCCATTTCTACTCAGATACTTTTTGCTAAAGCATGCATCGGGTTCGCAAACATATTTCCTGAAGAGAGCATTGTTAAAAGCGAGAACAAGGGCAGCACGATGTGGTGCATACAGGGTGTCAAAAAATGCAATCCAAAGAAATCGCTATATCTTGAAAAATACTGATTCAATTATGTTCATATTTTCAGGAAATAAAGAAGAAACTGAGTATGTATAGCTCCTGCAAATGGTTAGTTGGTAGAGACTGTGTATGTATAACTCCTGCAAATGGTAAGTTGGTAGAACTCTCCTTAGTTTTTGTACCATTGGGATGCATGTTAAATTGACAAGGTTCAAATCGCAGCCCATCTATCTTCAAAGAATTTCAGAGAAATACAGCGAAGCATCTCACCTCCATGTCAAAAAAGTTTCAACGAAAATGTCCCACGAAAATCAAAAGTTCTGCTCTCTTACAAAATATGAGTACCAAAACGTCATCATAGTTGTGAACATTGACCAATTCACCACTACCAAGGTCATCCATCCGCGGAAAATAATCCCAAATATTTTACCGTTCACTGTTATGATCACATGTTTCCCAGTTATTCTGGGCATTATATGCCCGCGAATGAGAGTATTCTATCCAAAGATGGTGCTGTAGTATACCATTGAAGTCCCCAAACAGGTTTCTAAGAGAACTACTTTCCTCATACCACGAGATAAACAAACCAAGTAAGGATTATACACTCGTTGTAAAACATGATGCCTTTGACACCTGCTCAAAAGACAGTTGTACTAGGAAAAACGCAGTCAGGGGGACTCCAACCGCAAAAACTAAATAACTTCCTAACCATAGTGTTTTGGCTTTTAAGATTTGACACAAATCATCTTCATTTACTGTATGGTAAATCTGAAGAGTGAAATCAAAATCACTTCAGGGACTTTACAGTCATGGTCGAAATGCTTTCAAATCGCAGTCAAACACCCTGGTTCAGGCAGACTTAAGAAGGCATTTTGACCATGACTGTAAAGTCCCTGTAGTGATTTTGATGAAACTCCACAAATGTAACACACATTGAATGAGGATAATCTGTGCCAAATTTGAAGTGCCAAAACACTATGGTAAGAAAGTTATTTGGTTTTATTGCTGTTGCAGTCACCTCTGACTGCGTTTTCATATTTTCCTAATAAAACTTTTGAGCAGGTGTCCAAGGCATCATGTTATACAACTTACAGACAACAGGAGCTATACATACACAGTCTCTTCTTTCTTATCCTGAAAAAATGAACATTATTGAATTAGTATTTTTCCAAGATATAGTGATTTTCCTTTCGCGTTTTTTGTATTTAAGCTAGTACAACTGTCCAAGACATCATGTTTTACAACTAACTAACATCAGGGGCTATCTGGACTGACAAAAAGGGTAAACAGCAGGGTTTGCATTATGATGTTTCCTTACACTGCTTTAGCTCCGGGAACAGCCACATCAAGATGGGCATTGGGACTGTCAACCCCACCATTTCCTAACGCGTAACCAACGAGCTTAGGATTGTACCACTTTAGCACATTTGCGAGGGTAGAGACCTCATCTATGTCACTATCACCTCCTATACTAAACACCAGACCCCTGTTTTCTATGGCTAACCCTAATACTGTTTGAGCAGTTACCCCCGTTCCTGCTGTTATTGAATCCCCCAATGCTGCCACCACATCAATGTCACCTGGCATCAAACTATGCACTGAAACCAAGATTGTTTAAGTATTCCTTAATAACTTTAACTGCAGGGCTGTAGTTACTTTTATATAAATTTCTTACTGTGCTTCGTTTCCTGGCACAGCTAAATTTAGATGTGCATTATAGCTGTCCACCGTGCCATCTCCCTGGGAATACCCCAAGAGTTTTTGGTTGTAATACTTTAAGATATTGGGTAATGTGGAGACCTTGTGTATGTCCTCATCTCCCCCTATACTAAAAGACTGTCCTCTGTATTGTATGAGCATTTCAGGTAAGGTTTTGGCAGAGATGCCTGTCCCTGCAGTAATGGAGTCCCCCATTGCAGCAACTATGTCTATATCTCCTGGCCTTAAACTATGCACTGTTTAGCAAAATAAGCAAACATTTTATGCGGTTAATATAACAGCGTATTTTGACTGGCAAGTATGAAGGCTGACTAAGCAAAGCAAAATAGACCAGATACAAGTAGAAATTATCTTGGTTTTCGTCATTAAATATTCAAGATTTAGTTTAGGCCCTATCTTGTATGACCTATAAAAATGAGAAAAAAAGTGAGTCATTTTTGGAAAATAAGTTAGATATTTCGAAAAATGTGTTAAGGTAGGGTCCTATTCCATGGTTTTCGAAGAGTATATTGATAAATTTTATTATTCTGGGAACCTCAGTTGGAGGAAATTGTATTATTGTGTTGAAATATCATCCCATTATTTCCACATTATTACAATTTCATTTTAGCTGATATTGAGAAATCAGAGGTTGAAGTTTAGGTCTTCATAACTTTTGAGTAGTAATTTTTAAAAACCTATTTTTCCGTTAGAGGTAATCATGTGTATATGTAGGCCTTGCAGAGCAAAAATCTCTGATTAACAAGAAAGAAAACACATATTTTTTATGGTTTCTTGTTCTTGAAATATCAAAATAACCCTGAAAACTGAATTTTCATTCCCTTTCATTTTGTTATTAGCATAATTCTGCCTATCTAATTAGACAGAATGTGACTCGTGTTCCATTTTGACTGATAAGGGGCTGGATGAGCTTTGACAATGTTTTTGCTTACAGTGTTGCATTTTTCATAATAAGTTAATTATGTGTAGTATATCATTCCTCATTGATTTTGAAAATAATAGGTCTAGTTTTTCAGCATATGCGAATTATTCGCTTTATACCCACTGGCTACTCTTATGAGGGGTACTATGATAATCATCAATACGATCAATCACACTCATATTTCTAGGGATTATGTATCTATATATAATTAGTTGCTATGACAAGTTTGATCATAATTGGTCAAGTGGTTGCCATAACAACACAATTTAATTTCGAAAAATTGTAAATATTTTGGATAAATCCACCAGATCTTAAAAAGGTAAATGACAATGTCAAAAGGTATAACAAGTCAGTAATTGATTAAGTTCACTGAATGAACTTGTTTTTGTTACAAATAATGTCAAATCTGCTTTCTTTTGTTTGTACATGTATGGTGTCATGATTTATAATTTCCTTTGTTGAGTATACAAAGTATACTAGTAAGAAATCTTTATTTCCACATTTATTGTTATAACTATTAGTCACATGATCAAAATTATGTATCTCATTGGCTCTGCTGCCTACAAAAACGAATATGACTAGGTGGACTTAAAAAAGTCCTGATTTTGTACTTCTAACCATGTGGCACTGGATATCTCCAAAAGGAAATTAGATCCATCGAAACGGACCCAAGAAATGAATTCCTCATGAAAAATTGAGGAAGATCTTATACTTATCTCAAATCCTCTAAAAAGTGAGTTATAACAATGTGGAAATAATGGGACGATATGTTGAATATATGGGAGAAAATAACCATGATCAAAGTTGTTACATGTACATGACCTATATATAATTATACAGGATATGGCCAAAATCCTTTAAACATGCACATTAAACTTTGATTTTGAAGATAACACTTCAAGGTACAAGGTTCAATCTCTGAGATTTAATGAAGAGCTATGTTGATCAAAGTATTTTTCCCAAAAGGCGTCATTGGAAAAATTTTCAAAATGCTGTTTCCAATCATAATATATATATATAAATTGATTGCATCTTAATATAAAAGCATGTACGGAGATGTCGTCAAGAATCAATTTCCAATAATTTGGTATAAACTATGGCATGATCTTATTTTTACATGTAAGTTTATGTTACGGGTTCTGGTGGGGGAAGCAATTGGAAGCTGGAGAAAATAGAATATGTCATCTATGAGGAGAGAGTGAAACTTTACTTTACATTATCACTGGTGATCCACTCGATTACGCTGGTAACCAAAACGAACCGTTTTGGTAACAAAATGTCGGAACGTCGAAGGCACTATTTTTCTTTTTTCCTTATTTCACGCGTTGTAGGCAGAATCCCCATGACGTTTTTTCTCACAACGTGCAGCAGTATCATATGTTTTGGAAAATGTACATGTTTGCGAAAAAATAGCTCAGAGGACAACAGAATCGTCGATTTACTTCCTCACTTAAGTTACATAAACGGTTTTTCGAAAATCAGTTAAGATCTGCACTTTTAACCCAAACCGTTTATGTAACTTAAGTGAGGAAGTAAATCGACGATTCTGTTGTCTTCTGAACTATTTGGTCGCAAATATGTACAATTTCTTAAACATATGATACTGATACACGTTTGTGTTAAAAAATGTCATGGGAATTCTGCCTACAACGTGTAAAATAAGGAAACGAGAAAATCGTACCTTCCGGATGTTCCGACATTTTGTTACCAAAACGAACCGTTTTGGTAACCAGCGTAATCGAGTGGATCACCAGTGATTATAAAAGATTGTACTGAACTTGAGAGACGTCGATTCCTCATTGATTTTGAAAATAATAGGTCTAGTTTTCAGCATATGCGAATTATTCCCTCTATACCCACTGGCTACTCTTATGAGGGGTACTATGATAATCATCAATACGATCAATCACACTCATATTTCTAAGGATTATGTATCTATACAAGGGGCGATCCATATATTCTGATAAAAATGCTCTCATTTTGTGATTTTTTCACATATCCCTCTTATTTTTTCAGAAAATGTAGATTATGTAATTACACATACAATGCTAAAATATTATAGCTATATCTTAAATTATCATTGAGATAAGGTTGCCATGGTAACCTGTATTAAGGGTAGGCAGGTCAATTAAATTATAACATATAAATATCATAATAACTTGTTATTTTAATTATTTTAAAGCATGCAGAAATCATGCATTTTTTCTAAAAAGGTTTGGTATTGTTACTCATTGTTTGTTGCTAAACAAATGTTGTATATGTGCTCACTATAACATCACAAATAATCACAAAACCATTGTAGGACAGAATGGGCCAATTGACATTACATGTTATGAGACACACCAAAAATAAAATTGTCAGATGAAGTTAATGTGGCTGATGCAGAGTGTGACATTAATGGATACATTAGGGAATACCATTAGATTTGATTTTCTTTCAAGAATGAGTAAGAGGACATTGTCAGAGACATACCTGGACTCATTAAGTGCATGGGCAAGGTGTTATATCTGCATAAAGAATCTATAGGTAGTATCGTAAAGAGGAAGGCATGGTCACTGTTGAAGATCATCCACAATCTGGTTGCAAGAGGAGCTTGCGGACAGAGAATAACACTACCATAAATTGAGATGTTACTTATGAAAAGATAGCTATCCCACTGTATAAATTAGCAAACAAGGGCAACAGGGGTATGGAACACATCAATGATAGTTGGCAATGACTGGAAGATCTGCTTCAAATAGGTACCGAGGAATGATTAAATTAACATATTTATCTATTTTAGACGTTATTATTTAACTGACCTGCCTACCCTAAATACAGGTTACCATGGCAACCTTATTTCATAATTATTTTCAGATATAGCTAAAATATTTTAGCATCGTATGTGTAATTACATAATCTACATGTTCTGAAAAAATGAAAGGGATATGTGAAAAAATCACAAAATGAGAGCATTTTTATCAGAATATATTGATCGCCCCTTGTATATAATTAGTTGCTATGACAAGTTTGATCATAATTGGTCAAGTGGTTGCCATAACAACACAATTTAATTTCGAAAAATTGTAAATATTTTGGATAAATCCACCAGATCTTAAAAAGGTAAATGACAATGTCAAAAGGAATAACAAGTCAGTAATTGATTAAGTTCACTGAATGAACTTGTTTTTGTTACAAATAATGTCAAATCTGCTTTCTTTTGTTTGTACATGTATGGTGTCATGATTTATAATTTCCTTTGTTGAGTATACAAAGTATACTAGTAAGAAATCTTTATTTCCACATTTATTGTTATAACTATTAGTCACATGATCAAAATTATGTATCTGATTGGCTCTGCTGCCTACACAAACGAATATGACTAGGTGGACTTACAAAATTCCTCATTTTGTACTTCTAACCATGTGGCACTGGATATCTCCAAAAGGAGATTAGATCCATCGAAACGGACCCAAGAAATGAATTCCTCATGAAAAATTGAGGAAGATCTTATACTAATCTCAAATCCTCTAAAAAGTGAGTTATAACAATGTGGAAATAATGGGACAATATGTTGAATATATGGGAGAAAATAACCATGGTCAAAGTTGTTACATGTACATGACCTATATATAATTATACAGGATATGGCCAAAATCCTTTAAACATGCACATTAAACTTTGATTTTGAAGATAACACTTCAAGGTACAAGGTTCAATCTCTGAGATTTAATGAAGAGCTATGTTGATCAAAGTATTTTTCCCAAAAGGCGTCATTGGAAAAAATTTCAAAATGCTGTTTCCAATCATAATTTATATTTATAAATTTATTGCATCTTAATATAAAAGCATGTACGGAGATGTCGTCAAGAATCAATTTCCAATAATTTGGTATAAACTATGGCATGATCTTATTTTTACATGTAAGTTTATGTTACGGGTTCTGGTGGGGGAAGCAATTGGAAGCTGGAGAAAATAGAATATGTCATCTATGAGGAGAGAGTGAAACTTTACTTTACATTATAAAAGATTGTACTGAACTTGAGAGACGTCGATTTTTATTACAACCCCTTATTCACTCTACCCTCCCTCATCCACGCCTGCGCGAGACTATTGGTTTTAGTCAAGGCGACTGTTAAGTCTCATTAAACACTTACGTTTAAAACTCTTTTCTTCTTTCTCGTGGCTTTATTTTTATTGCCATGGGGGTGCCATCGCACCACTGGCCACAAATTCTTTCAAAATCATGCAGTATCTCATCATTCTGAGCACTTTTTAAGTAATTATGGCCATATTTGGGCCAAAATTGTCAAAAAAAGTGAACCTCCTGGAATT